CTGGGTCCGAGCGGTCACCTAGGCGCTGATACAGCAGTAACCATCCTCGCGTTGTTGCTGCATCATGATCATACCACCGGTGTACGATCAACAATCCACAATGAGAAAGAACAGATACTGTAGTGGCACCCCACATACTCTCCCGGCAAGGGTATTCGGGATTACTATTGCCGAGGCTACCGTGGGGGTATCATTGCTTGCGGGCCCAAACAACTCGCTGAAGACACGGCGAGACTCAGCAATAGTACCCTCCAAAACCCTTGCCGGGAGAATGCGTTCACGAGGACCCTCTCGGCGCGAAGCCTTCATGAGGGTTCGGTTGTCCCCGGGAGCCCTTCGCTTCACACCCTTCGAGAATCAACCCTGAGCTGTGCTAACAACGTCCCAGGCCCAACGTGCAACGTCCAAGCAGTTTGCGATGTTTGCGACGTTCGCTCCGTGGGGCTCGCGAGCGCCTGCGACATGCCCTCGTGAGCTGCCTCCGCCCTCTCCTTGGCGTAGCGTATCGCACACAACAGCTGTTGACTTTGGACCATAATCCTTGCCCCCTTTGCGCCTCATCAGTTGTTTTAGGAGTCGACTTAACCCTAACCCGTACTCCCCTGTGTGCCTGATACATTGTTCGAAAACGTGCTCGTGCCAGAAACGTTGTTTGAAAACGGTTTTCAAACAACGTATCAGGCACACAGGGGAGCACGGGTAAGGGTTCTAAGTCAACTCCTTCAACAACTGATGAGGTCAACAGGGGGACACGGATTGCGGTTCCACAGTAAGTCAACAGCTGTTGTGTGAGATACACTACGTACGGGCAAACAGAATCGATGGGGAGGTGTTTGAACGCTAATTGTCGGGCCGGCGACGTCGAAGATACACGCGACGGTTTGTTCTCGGAAGTTGCGGAGAAACACGCTCTGGAGGGCGACCGAGCGTTCTTGGAGGCTTTAAGCCGTGATGGTCCAGGCGGCACGGAAAATTCTCCCAGCAATATTTTTTCCGTCCCGCCTTGACCATCACGGGCTAACGCCTCCATGAAGGCTCGGTCGCCGTCCAGAGCGTGTTTCTGCGCAACCTTCGAGAGCCAACCCTCGGCTGCATCCACAAGGTCGCAGGGCCGACATGGAAGACGTATGTTCGACCAATTCATGGTGGATGGAGATCTGGATCTGCGCCAGGGTGTTAGCGAGACCATAAAGCGTCCGGTGGTGCAGGCGAGTTTGTAGGAGCGCCTGCGAAAGAACCAAACTACGGTATGTATGTGTTGCTCGAAAAATGGGTGATTCCTACTGCCGTGAAACACCATTTGGTCGAGCATATACACGGCTCTTTCGCATGCGCTCCTTGCGCGTTCGCCTCCTCCACCGCACGCTTTATGGCCTAGTGTAGATCCGGATCTCCGTCCACCATGCGCTGATTTGCGTCTTCCACCCTTCTTGCCGTACCTCTTGGCGAGAGCAGCTGCGTCATCCCAGAGGCTCGACGTGTCTTTGGCGAGTCGCTTTGGCCCGCGAGCAAAGATGCCCCCCCGCAGCCTCGGCAATAGTACCCTCCAGTACCTTTGCCGGGAGAATCAGGACCACGGCGGCGTGGAGCCTCCAAGAGGGCTCGGCCGTCCTCGAGAGCCTATTTATGGGCACCCTTGGACAGGCAACCCTCGGCTGCATCCACAACGTCGCAGGCCCAACGTAGAAGACGGAATGTCGACCAATGTACGGTGGACTGAGATCCGGATCTGTAGACCCGGATCTAGGCCAGGGTGTTCGCAGGGCTACAAAACGTGCGGGGTGTCGGAGGCGCTTGCGGGTGCGGGAGGAGCGCCTTCGAAAGAACCGCACGTGTGTGTTGCTCGACTAAAAATAGCGAATGTCGGCGGTTGTTGTGCCCAGGTACGTATCGTCTTTGAAACACACACAAAGTGGGACTTTGTGCGCATGTGCGAGTCCCTCTGTGTGCATTTTGTGCCGTGTGCCCTTCCTTCGAATCTTACCCTGAACGGCACTTACGTGGCTCTGTGTCGGATTTGAACCTTGTCGTCGGTGTTGGTGGTGCTGATGCTCTAATAGGCAACAAACCAAGTTTTCGTCGTCGTCCATCGGAGGCCGGGTATCACGAGATATCAATTTTTATCGAGCTCTGAGTGATCGAACGCGAAAAAACGAGGGGAGAGGGGAGAGATTTGGCTTCCTGACCATGACGAAAAGTTTTATCAGGATCCGTTTGGGAAAAAATCAAAATCAAATTTCTCGTTCGTATTCCTCGGTCAACCGAATGATTGTACACTTTGTTCGATTCTTGGATGTTCGTATATCTACGGCCTGACCAGAGAACCGAAGTTGTGCTGACCGATCGAAAACTCTTCCAAACGACAGTGTTTGAAACAATCCGCCGCCGAGCGAGGACCCCCGACAAAAACGGGAAATGGTTTTGCATTTTGCGGGCGAAAGTGTGAACAAAGATGGGATGATATGCCTATACACAACAAGTTAGAGAGATACATCAGCAAAGTTGCTGGTGGAAACCATCGAAACAGAGAAGTGAAACGCAACATTGCATATCTTGCAGCAATGCATCATGGAAGCCCCATTGCTATTCTTCCCGGACCCGGATCTCTGTCGTTTGATTTGTCTCCAGGGGAATCTGGTTCTGCGTTCGATCCTTCTCGGGCATGGAGTATAACCTCCCTCCTCAAGCACCTAATGGCGCATCGTGGAGTCGCGAACCTACGTAGACGGCCGGAGCTCGTAAACAAGGTCTAGGCCCCCAAGCGTCGCCTGCAGGCGGTTAAGCCTTTGTGCAGTTCCAGACAGATGTCTGTGTAATGATACGTACAGTAGATGGGAAATAAAATGTGAGGTTTGGTAGAACGTTAGCGAGGGAGCTCGTGAATGAATTGATTGCTGATCAGAAGATTGAAATTGTAGCGAGATCACGAGGTGTCGCGAGCCCCACCAGGTTACCTCCCAACTATCCCTCAACATCTCAACTCTGCAAGTAAGCTGTGAAGTGAACAAGACTGAAAAGAAGTACAAATTCCAGACGCGGCATTTGGAACAACGTCGACTTCGGTCGCTTCCTCTAGAGACTTCGGTCGGAACAGACTTCGGGGCGAATGCCAGGGCGTTATTGGGTGAAATATGTTTCACTATTGTAACAGAGTTCGCTGTTCTCGGTCCTTCATCTTCGCGTCTCCGTCATCGGCAACACTGCATCACGTTACTCGGTACTGCCGTGGTGCACCGAAGGCCGTTGCCGACGCTAGAATGTAGTACCTGGCAAGGCTACTGTCAGAGTAAGGGGAAAGGGCAATTCGACGAGGGAAAAGCGCTACGCCGGCAAAGTTTGGAGACAACATTACCATATCCACACCCGGCGCCTGAAAGATCACAGCAGGTCGCAACACGCAAACACGTGAGTTCTTTCAGGGAAACAATGTGTTCATAGATGTTGTTGTTGTTGTTGTTGTTTTCTTCACAATGGAGTCGACAAACGAAGAAGTGGGAGAGAGGAAAAACAACATTTTTGGCGCCGCCAACGGAACGTCGCATGTGTGGCGCATGGAGCATTGTCCCATACTGGACGTACCATTTGTAGCTTGACCCTGGGCCGTTCTCGCTCTGATCGAACACGTTGGACGGACAATATCGCACGGCTCCTCCAACTGGCCTGTCCGCCCTTGATCTAACCCTCATCCTGACCCTCCGGCAGCCCATCACGACGACACTGATGAATGAATAAATGTCGATCGGCATGCTTTTTCTTTTTCAACGGCGGTCAAGGTCGTCAGGGGTCATCGACCACCCGCCCATGGGCCACACATGAGTCGTCATAGGCCGCCCGTGGCCAGACATGAGACGCACCGTAGGTTCATGGTTTATCATGCGCCGTGACCTGTCTTTTCTCTTCTCCGACGTTCAATGGGCGGCCCTGTGGTATCATTGGGAACAGTCGGCCCTTGGTCGACCCAAGGGCAGCAATATTGCGTCCCCAAAACCCAAACCTAAAACATAAGGCCCGTCGTTTTGGGGACACAACCTCATTGGCTCAAGGTGCGCATGGGCGGTCCATGGGGCGTCCAATAACAACAGCACATCCTTTGGGCAACCCAAGGGCCGTTCCACCAGTACATGTCCGCCGAACAACCAAATACATGGTCTAAAGGTTGCCTTGTGGTTGCACGTATATTGAGGGAATCGTTCGCTGCTTCTCTGTCGCGCGTTGAAAATCCACGGAAGGCGTAAAGAGGACTTCAATCAATTGCTGTGTGGCTAGGGGCGCTCTTCGGTGGAAAAGTGCCACAGGTAAGTATGATCCGGATAGACAATACGACGAATATGATTCTAGGCTTCATATCGCAGTCCACAAATCCCTCAACTACTTACACTTCTAATAATGTCTTGCGCCGACAAAACCGACGGTGAACGCTCACTGGCTTCATTGGGGTCTGAGGCTAATTACTCAAGGTAGGTGTCGTTTGTACCCGCGCTTCAAAAGGTATGTGTGTCGACTCTTCGACGTCCGACAAAACGCAACGTTCTATGTTGTCCACGTGATCAACATCCTACTTCATCTCTAAATAGATCAACCCCGATGCGCAAAGGCGTGCGGCTGCTGAGAGAGTTGAGACATCTCCGAGCTTCGCCGGGACCGCCTTCTCTCTATCTTGGCACGGAGGAACCGCCGCCTCAACCGTCGGCGTACGATGAAATACACGATGGAACCGAAAAACGCCAACAGTGCTCCTCTGCGCATGTCAAAATGAACAGTAACACAAAGAGACGGAGCGACGCGACAATAAATGGAAGTTCGTGAGGGTGTCTAAAAACATATGTTCGAACGCGTGTCATTCGCTGGCCTCATTGCACGCTATTTTGTTATTGTTGTTGTTTCGGCTTTTTCCTGAGCTTGTTCTAAGCTTTCCGGGCGCATAGCAGGTGGTCGATTCCAAAGCATTCTGAAGACAACACCGTTCATGAGCATGAGGAGATTGGACCCCGTCCCCTTACTCACCCCACAATCAGAGGAATGGAGTTCCGCTGCAGCCAGCTAGGTTCGAAGATGTTGTAGTGGCATGTCAAGAATCGGTCGTCATCGGAAACTATCCCCTCGTAGCCGCTCAGACACCTTCCCGTTCCGAAGGCGTACGTCACTGGTAGCACGTCTCTGTATTGCACCAGTGGATCCTGGGGGGGTGATGTGCGCGAGTGTTGCCTTGATTATTATTTTGACGATGACGGAATATCAACAACGCAAGGGCACTGCCCACGATGCACTGCAGATTATTGGATGACTGTTGGAAGTACTCGACAAATGTGGTGTGGTCACTGACAGCGATCCTCGACGTACTTTCTCCTGTCGAGTGAATAAAAGGAGTGTACTGTGGTTCGTCTGCAGTGCATGCCGAGTACTAATGACGCTGGTGGTCGACAACGTGCATAGCGACATTGGTGTCTTTGGCCGGAACTTCACTCCAACTGCAGATCATCGTCGAGATGTAAGCGCGCACCTGCCACGGCCCATCGCAGTTTTCTTGGAAAGTTTCACAGTCATCCACGTCGAACTCTGTCCAGCACGTGCACGTGCACTGGCTGGGTGCGGTGCAGTTGCCCCTTCAGGCGTTGGTATTGCCACATGGGAACACGCAAAGACATGTGGAGAACAAGTGAGCATGCTGTCAAAAAACCACACCTTTGGCCTATGGGCCGACACACCGCCTGCTTCTCCGTCGTGACACGTCCGAATGACTTTTTTGAACAGAGTGATATTGTCGATGTCGTGAGTGTTCCACACATAAACCACAGATAGTTGCCTAGACTAGGTTCGACATCAAGATGCACTTAATGTGCTCGTGGTAAAAGTGCTTGGTTGAGCCGGATGACCATGGAGCATGCCGTGATGTACAGCAATTTCATGAAGTCTGCTGTACCTACAATATGAGAAAGGGCTAGGATCGTACCTGTTGTAATAAGCCCCGTTGTATGCCACCGCAGCGTACCGTTCCACCATCGCACAAGGATCTGCTTCGAACGCTACTACTCTTTCCTCGTCCATCGTGTTCAGCTGCACCCGCATTAAGCCGTCCGCTACCACCTTTAAAAAAACGAAGATCGAGTACCGCGAACCAGAACAAATATTCGCGTACGGTCCTTCTTCGGCAGGTTTGCGCCATATTTTGCTCTAGTCATCGAGAATCATGCCCGAACACAGGTGCCCACCGCCAAACACGCCAATAGAGTGTTATGGTCGATATGAGAACGAGACATCAATGGTTCCGAGCCGCGACACCGCCCATGATCGATCCTCGTTTCCACAGCTGAAGGACTGTCCCCGGAGAACAACGTTCCCACAAGAATATGGACATTCATATCGGGTATCTCCCGTGGACGTCGTATTGCAGATACAGGAGGCAAACCAACCACAAGACGGAGGCCCTGTGTCTCACCTCACAAACAGGAGTTCTGCAGTCGTACCCGGTCCACCCATCCGCGCAGGAGCAGTGGTCGGGCGCCGTACACACCCCTCCGTTGGGACAACGGAAACATCCCTGGAAAACATAGATTCAACACGGCACATACATAGCAACATGAGGAGGCTCATTTCGAGTTGGGAAACAAGTTCGTATTCTGGCGCCTTGCTTCGATCCAAGAAGTAGCATGAGGCATAACTATTTAGACTGTACGGCAGAATGTATCAGTTCCTGGGGGCTCTTTTCGAACACTTGTCTTTTTCAGGGTAAACGCCCCGGAACAGACCTTTTTAGACGGAACAGTATAGCACGTTGGCGTATCGCAGCAGCAACAACGTTTGGCGTTCTAAACTCGGTCTGTCGTTTCACGCACCTCCCCTCCTGGCGCCTGCGGCAGATCGGTGCAGAAGGGATCAAAGAAACCTTGCGCGCACATGGGCATGGAACAATCCGTGCCGGTCCAGCCCGTGATGTCTCGGTTCGCTTCCTCGTACACCTTCGTTCAGTCGATGAGAGGGTTGGATGCAATGTTGTAGCGTCATGAGTAGGTGGGTGACTCATTCCAACTCGAGGTGTCAGGGCTACAAGGTAATCAAAATCAGGGAGGAATCCATTGTATAGATCATAGCATTACCGCTTTCTTCGAGAGGAGGACATATTTGTTGCGGTGGGGTCTCCCACGCTCTCGGCGGTTGTGCCGATTGTTCCATGAGTCGCCGATCGAAAAAAAAAAGAATGCATCATGACTGTATTTGTAGTGTGGAAATTTGTTCCAGCGGCAGACGGTTGGGTCTGTCATTCATTCTTGACCACTCACAACACCCCAACTCCACCCCATACTATCTAATGTCCATCTCACCCGTGCACACGCAAGTACTACTGTTGTACATGGCTGGCCAAACGACCAGTGGGTATGCTTGTGGTCGCTGGGTGTTAATAACAAACATTTAGACCAGCATATTTGGCGCAGACCGAATAGGTGAGGTTACACCGGCGGGGGTATAGAAACCAACCGGAGGGCGGTCGACAAGGACAAAACATTGACTGAGACGAGTTTGGATGGCACCATTAGAGAAAAGGCCTCAACGATTGGGTCTCTTTCTCAGCTTGGTCCGTGGTCGGTCTTGAATGCCTGAGAATTTGGCTGGCACCACTACGGGAAACGTCTCGTCGACTGGGTCTCTCATTCCTTCTTGACCACACTCGCCACTGACAACACCAACACCAAAACCAACTAACCCTAACTCTGAGGTGAGTGTAGTCCCCGGTAACGCGTACTATTGTCGCTAGTTGGCTCTAGCGGTCTCGAGGTTATCCATCGCGATGGAGTCCGCCCGGTTTGCATATATATTTCTATTTCCAGGTTCACTCATGAGAAGTCTTGAGTGACTGGCGTATATCCCCTTGCCCCATCCAATACACTTGGCCCCCAGAAACTCTGTTCTAGGTAGGTATTTGAATGAATTCCTCGGGCATGGAAACTCAGCAGATTCCTCGTTGCTTTGTTTCGCGGGCATCCGCCGTATTCCCGATGGTTTCCAGAGAATACAGGTAGAGTTTGGGGCTCGCGGTCATCATCGTCATCGGTTTATGCTATTTGGTTGTTGGGCGAGCAACCTTCCCGGGGCAGGGGTCTACATCACCCGAATCTGTTGAGGCCCTCGATCTCCTATGATCCAATATCCCCGAAAGGGCAAAGTTCAGTGGGCGCGTACACACGCAGATATTCTCTTGATACCGAGACTGGATTATTCCCCACACCATCGTTGAAAAGGTTTTCCCGGACGGACTATTCACTTGGGGCCATCCATTGAAGGGGGAAAATGCTACATTTGAGATGCATGTGGTAGGTGCATGGCGCTCAGCATGTGGGCACGTCGACAAGTACATAGCAAACGGAGCCCGGGGAATAGCTTCACATGCGGTACCAAACTACAGTACTCCCCGATCGTCTTGAGCGGTTCTTTTGCGTTGTACGCCAATTACCTGCCATAATATGCTGTCGGCCGTGACACACGCGCAATCGTCCTTCGCCGAGCAAATGCCTCCATTCTGGCAACTAGATACCGCCCCGGAAGGTTGCAAATGCCTGGTTGGGTTTGCGGAAGGGTCATGTGGTGAGCGATGGCAAAGGCGATAGTCAATGGCAACCATTGTGCCAAGACCTACTGTATACACAGACCGGTTTAGAGTCATGGCGTTGCAGCGTACGGTACACGTGCACTCAACGCCGACCAAGTCTCTGCTCGGTGCATTATGACAAAAAGATCTTCTTGGTGTAGAAAAACTCTCCACATGCACCAATCGTTTTCGACGCTCCTGAAATTGTTAATTTATTTCGTCGGGTGATTCTGCATCGCTTTTGGTTGCTTCCACATCTCGTGCCGAAGACCATAGCAACGAAGGCAATGTCGTGGCGTCTTCTTGAAAGTACTTTGAAATGTACGAGTTGAATTATGTGCTTGATCTCGTGAAGATCACCTCGGCAGTTTTACACGGACGCACGCCTGCCATCGTTCCCCCAACCCTGCGACGAAGAACTTACTTGAACCGAACCCAAATGATCCGCTCACAGTACTGTCCGTCAATGGCACCTCGTACCGACACACTCTCTCTCCTGGACAACAATCCTCAACACCGTTTCCATTGCGCGGATTTGTCATCTGTACCTGCACAGAGGCGTGTTGCAGTCGTAGCCGTCCCACCCATCGGGGCACGAGCACGTGTCGGGCGCCAGGCAACTGCCGCCGTTGTGACACCGGTAGACCCCTTCTCCTGGTGTAACGGCTCCCTGGACCCAGGTTTCATCGTCCACCTACAGCAGCATAGCAGTATACCGCGCAGAAAGAGATGGAGCGCAGGCGGGGTGAATGGCCGGGAAAAAGGGAGTCGTGTTATACGGTAGCACCAATTGATAACAAACTTGCTCGTCTCCAACAAAGCAAGCCCGTGGTCGCAAACCGGGGGATTACGTGCCGTGAGCGAAACAATGCAAGAAAATCAACTTGACGCCATGAGGGGGCAACGCTCAGGGTATGGGTCCTCGATAGCGATCATCAAAAGGCACCGTCACAAAATATAGAAACGGATCGTAGAAACGTGCAGATGACATCGCCAGTCACGGCACAACGGTACCGTGGGCAAGATAGTTGCGTTGCGTCAATGTAGGTCATGGTAGGACCGACCGGAGGAAAGCGGGGCGGTTGAACCAAACGACCGAAAGAGAAAGTACGAGTCAACGCACAACCACGGCCAAGAGGGTGAAGGCGCGCGGATCAAGATGACGAGAAGCCGGCAATAGCCACGCCAACACACCTGAGTACAACTCTGATCACAGCGCCCATCTGCGTACCTTGGTGTAGTTATCGTAGTTGTAGCGCAGGTGCCTGCCGGAGGCGAGGCCCGAGTCGGTGCCAAAACCACTCCCTGATCCCAGGCCGGCGTCGTCGGAGAAGTCGCCCTGTGTCCACTCGAGCCGCCCGCACAAAAACCTGCACGGAGCAAGCGCGCGCGGGCGAGTAGTTGTGAGGGCAGTATTTGGGTTCCAGCATGTGGGTTAGGTGGGTGCGCGAGTACCTATTTGCGTTGGTGGAAGGATGAACGTGTTGCTATTGCACACCCTACACTATTACGTTGCATGTGAAAGAGCATCAGAGCTTGGAATTGCCCGTGAAACGAACATATGCATCAAGAATAAATGCCCAGGGATTTTTTCAAGTGGCACCGTATCGACAGAAGGCTCAGACATGCACCTGCCGGACGTGACGTTACTCTCAAGGTTGTGGCTGCTGTACCGCCAGTCGTCTCGAGTGGGGTCAGTGTTTACCGCCGGGGGTAGGGGGCTCAGGTCCGGCCCGCAAAGAGTGACACCGCCGTCGGAGGCGATGAATCTCAAGGGGATGTCGTCGATGTCCGTGTAGACCTCTGTCGATATGCTGCCAGTGCACTGGAAGCTGATATCGAAACGATTGTAGCCGGGGGGGGTGAGGGGGGTTAGCAATGCACGCAATCTTTGATATTGGGTGCTGCTCCCAAGCCTTTCACCAATTGCTACACCCGGAACTACAGTAATTCAAGAGTGATTAATCTTTTCAACCTCAACCTCGACCAACCCTACTAATTTTTGCGTCTGCTTCACCCGCCCTGTCACGGTCTTGTCCCTTGATTCTATTGTGGCCATACCCGATTGTTCTCTCTCTCCTCGATGTTCTTCTTGTCTACCCCCGCGTTCTCTGCTCCGACTTCGCTTGGTTGGCACCTCTGGCTACCGGTGTACCCACGAATCACTCACGTGTCATCTGCTACGGTAAAGTCTTCGCAATATTCGCACGACCACGCGGAGGCATCCCAGTAGCAGCACCCGCTGTCGAGGGGGTCGTTGCCGCACCCGGTTTGGAAGCTGCGCATCACGCCGGCCGACGTAGTGCGTTTAAGCACGGTAGCCCATCACCGATTGGCACATGTCACACACATACGGTTGGGAAACAGAGCGACGTGTTGAGAACATACGCAGCGGGGGAAACGCGTATGTCTACTTTCAAACAAGGCAGTGCTTTAAGTACCACGCCTTCTGTGGGTCAAGAGCAAATCGCAAAATGGAACACACGATGAGAAAGCACGCGACTGGACTTTGACTGAAGTAGGGAGGACAGGCGAAATCACCCAAGTTCTACGCTGATTGCCGCACTCAGAGGCATCAGCAGCTGCCCAAGCGGTGGGCGGCTGTCAATGTCTGCCACTCCATTCTCTGGAACCCGTTGGTTAAGGCGCGATTGTCTGCTTGATCGAGAGATATCTAGCCACTGACGGAACTGGGTGGATCTAACCGCACACGAGTTGGGAATTTGTGCCGTTTATTCATACCTTGTACCGAGGTTGGTGACGTAGGTCGCGTCGTACTCTGGGCATCGCACGAGCCCGCAGGCCAAGGTACCGTCAAACCCATGCCCGCTGAGCGCTGAGTAGCCGCTCGAGGCGTCGTCCTCCACGTTTAAGACGAATTCTTCACCCTGCAGGGAATTGTTAGACGACCGCCAACGACTTTGACCATTTTCCTCACGAGACGAAAGTTAAAATTGTACTTAATATTGTTTGTGTAGGCACAGTGTCCTTGCTTTGCAGCGGCGTGGTATGTTCTTCGTGCTGGGCTTGGTGGCGGCACTGCGAAATGCCACAAGGAATAGGAGGAGACGAGATGTTGTAACATTGCCATCGACGACGAAAGCGTCTTACAGAGTGCACAGAATCTTTTACTGAACGAAAGAGCGCTCATTGAGCCTGCCATTCACTCTTAGTGAAACTGGCCTGCGTGACCGTCACAGCTATTGATTTCTTCTGATACGGTCAAGATTTCAATTTCGGCGTGAATGCACACACGGCCGTATTTTACGCAGTGCATTCTGCCTACATCTGCCCTGAACGTAGTCATCCCCACCTGCACACATATCGGCACGGAGCAGTCATACCCCGTCCAGCCCGTCTGCTGGGGATCTCCGTTGGGCTTGAGGAACAGCGGCCTCCCGCCGGCCTCCCTACCGTCCCTGAAGGCGTTGTCCCACCGGGCGCACTTACAGACGTCCGGTGCTACGCATGTACCGCCGTTGTTGCAATCCTGCACCAAGCGATCCCGATTACTACACAGGAGGTTTCGACGGTGCTTCAACATCTGGTAACCATTCACAGTGATATCTACTTCCCGCCTGCGTGTTTTCTCACTTCATTTCAAGGAACGGGCGCCCTGACATATACATAGTTCCTGCGGCGTTTTTTTTTACTTCATTTCATGGGGAAGGTCGACCATCGAAGCTCCAGCTTGGTTTGGATCCCGATGCCAATAGCCTTGAAGAGCACAACCGTGTTCATGGCAGCCAGGAGACTGTGTTGTGCGACGTGATTCCACCCGGAAGTGGGTAGGATCACATCACGCCTAGCCAACGATGCAGGTTAGCTGTCTGGCATGGCATGTGATGAGAGCTCACGAGCATATTTTCTTGATCGATGAGAGAGGTGAAATAAACGACATTCAACGTGGATCGTCTTCTTCGTGTGTCTGCTCCATGTACTGGCGCACCAGAACCAGTCCTGAGGAGCGTGTTTTCAAGATTTGTTATGCTTTTTGCGCCCATCCAGTATGCCAAGTTGTGCCGCTCGTTGTAAGGCACAATACTGTGACCCGGATATCCTGGCGATCATGAGACAACATTGTTCGTGTCTGGAACGCATATGTACCAGGATGCAGTACCGTTCTATGGAACCGACGTGTCGAGTGAACTTGTTCTTTCCACCCCAATTCCCAGAGATGAAAAAAAGTTAAACTTACCAAGCGCCTGTTCGTGTCTTCTTACCTGTGCGCATATTGCTACCCCACAGTACTCCCCGGTCCAGCCCGGCGCACAGGTACATACCCCGGGCAACGTGCAGTTCCCCTGGTGCTGGCAGGGGGTGGGACACTCCGGTTCCGAGCAGTCGTAACCTGTCCACCCCTGAATTGTGGTGTTTGTCGACCAGAAGAAGTGAAGGGGGTGGGCGTGTGCATGCCGGTGTTATCATCGTCGTCGCGGTTAGTCGTGGACGTGAAAATTGTGGTGACAGATTGCGTCAAGATTCGGGAAGGTGGGCGGGGAGGATGCCTCCAATGGAGATCCCAGCAAAAATATCACCCGATATAGGCTTTAAGTTACGATCCGATAACTAATTGGTTATATTTGACAGATTGCGTGTTAGTAGCTGGCGTATCGCTGCAAGAGGGGCACCTGCTGTAGGAGAAAACGGACAGGAAAAAGGATTAATCGAACCCACAACGGCTGTGCGCAAGTTGCCCTTTATTCCTGTAGTCATGCATACCTGGCCAAGGCAACCGTATCGGTTTCATGTCTACGCATCGACCTAGGACGATGTTCAACATCGGGTTGTACCTCGGCACACTCGCAAACATCCGGGGCCACGCAAGTTCCATTGTTGAAGCACCCCCGCACGACCTGATCGACGCATTCGCCGCCTTCCATCTGCAGTACGAAGTGCAAAGATGGGGTTGCAATTGTTCTTCACCCCAAAAGGAGAAAAGATACGGCAACATTTGGGTTTCTAGATGCCTGATATACGGCAAGCATGTGCTCCCGACTACTCAAGGGATGAGAATTTAGCGGTGGCCACCTCTGCGCAGAACGCGCCCGCACGTCTACGATCGGCTTACCACAAGTACTAATCAGTCGTGCTTCGACGTAGTGTGATCCTTGGGGTAGCCAAACTATTAACACCCACAGGATGGCGCGGGGTTGCTCAAGGATGAAGGATGAACCATCGGTACCACGTACACACGGTGCTTTCGATAACCATTCCCCCGCTTCATCTACCGGACGTCACCCTGTTTGATGACCGAAACCGTGCAGTACCGCTAGCAAACACACGAACAAGGACAATATTTGGCGACTCCAAAACTTAATGCTTTCTGCAGTACCCCATTCTCTATGGTTTGAGCCTCCGTTCGCTTCCCCCCGGAAGGAAACGATCACCGCCAGCTCTAGTTCAAGTCGGGGTGGCATGACGAACGAAGCAAACTGCGCGCGATGGCATGTCATCAACATCATTCGTATAATGCACGGCTAGGAGCAAGCCCCGCTGAATCGTTGTTCAGTGTCCTACCTCCACGCAGGCGGGATCTTCAGAATGGAATCGACGGAGTCGCCGCTCCCAAACGACCTCATTCACTCACCTCCCACCAGCCCGCTCCTTCCTCCTTCCACTGTGTGTATGTCACGCGTAGCCTGTAACTCAGGTCCGTGTCCTGAACGAGGACTCCTACTCCCTCCTCCCCGACGGCCACGGATTCCAGGTCAACCGCCTGGGTTTGCGTTTCAAGTTCGTGGAGCACCGGTTACCGTTTGGACGGGAGGCCGAGCAATGTATGAGGAGATTAGGTTATGCGCGCAGCAAGTATTTGAATACCGCCATGTAGTTTGAAGACCGCCATGTGCATTCTGCACATATCCCAGACAAACGCCCGCCCGGGACACTATATGAAAGCTGATGTGCGTTATAAGTGGTACGTTCGATACTTAGTGGCGATGTTTTGGGCAGGAGAATGACACGAGAGGTGTTAACCCCACCATTCGAAGACCACAAATTGCTTCCGCCCCAAGGCGAATGAAGGGAGTACAGATCGTGCCAAACATTTCGGAAAATCAACATTGGTTTGAGCATGGCATCAATCACATGTTTGGCCAGCGGCAAGAAAAGGGTGATACCGGCTTGTTGGTGCACACGAAGCCCGATCTCCTTTTTCCGCCGCACATACACTTAGATGAGGAGCAGCACGACGAATTGATCACGTACCGATCATCCGCTCATCACCCCGCCATCGAAAGACATGGGCACTTCAATCAGTGAAACTGTTCATAAAACTGTCGCCCATAGCACAGATAACACCAGCCAGTCCGACAGCAGCATGGCGTTCCTCTCGTCTCAGATCTACGGTTTCCCCTCGTTTGAGTCGTCTGCATGCGTGCGCGCCTGAGCCTTTCCCGCAGGACAGCTCCTGTTGAACTGCATGATGCACACGCCCTTCTGCCAGGACGCGCCGGTCGCCGTCCAGACCCCGTCACGCTTGTGGCCGACGTCCGTGTAGACGTAGAAGTGCCCCTCGTCGTCGATCAACTCCAACCTGTGTCTCCGAGAAGATAGAAAAGAAAAAGAAAGAGCACATTTAACGCTGTACCTTGTTCTTCAGCTTGGTAAGGCATGAACTTGTTGTGGTGAACACGCAGTTGTTGCGAGATGTTGATTATTGGATCCACCCGTATATGGATCACGAGGTTGGTTCTTCGGAGATACGGGCATGAATATTTTGGAGGCAAAGCGATACCGGCATGAATCACACACAGCTGAACGTAGGCAATGCCGGAATATTCGCATGTTTTCTTCCCCAAGCTGTATTCCGAGGTTGCATCACCCCCACTATGCTTCCCAGCGATCTATCCAGAACAAGTGACCATCTTTTTCGGGGAATAATGCTTATGATTGTTCTTGGCTTGGGCCATCAAGCACGGGTTGTCCACAAGATGTAGTCTCTGTGCTGATGCTCTGGTTGCATCTGTTGGGATGATCCTGGAGAGCGCCAAGGCGCTAAAAGCGCGGCAGAATTCCAAGAAGAATATAACACCCACCTAGATATACATGAGGCGAATGTCTTCGCGAAATCATATGAGACAACTACACATTTTGAAGCCGCCATGTCACGAGAATACCAAATTGAACGGTGGCGATATCCGTCGCTGCAGCGTAAGTCCATGGATGGCCGGCCTCCAGCAGAAGGGAGGCGGCTAACCTTAATCTGAAGGAAGGTGCCGCGAGCACATATTGGGCACCAACTTTGAAGCTCGAGACAACCGTTCAGAAGGAGGGGGGGAAAGAGACGGGGGCAGAGATTTCGCTTGTTAAACTCACCTTGCGCTCTTGCTGTGCAACGGGGGCCACAACATGTCCTCCCAGAAGGTGTACGTTTCGCCGTCATCTTCCACCTATGTATGCAAACAGTCGTGCCGGACGCACACGGGGGCCAACAAGGGACAAGGTTCGGTTGTTGCGGGAAGTCGCATGAAATTGTTCTGAACGCTGTACGAATGACGAAAATGTTACGAGCTTGAGTTACGAAAAGTGCAGATACCCCCTCAAGTGTATGACACCAAAAAATCTCAAAACCAACCGTTCATACACCAAGCTTTTTAGGAACCGATACGAACATTCGAATTGGGGTACGATGGAGCAGTGCCACCACGCGAGTGTGGCGGGGCGTTTCGGGGCGCTGACGTCTGTACGCTGTCAAGGTCCCAGCTCACACACCTTGGGGTCCATGTATCGGGACCAGTAGTTGGGCGCATCCAGCACAAAGTCTTCGTTCTCGAACTCAGTTCTCGCCCGGACCGAGCAGTAGTACCCCCCCTGATCGGTGAACGCACGCTCGGCTCCTCCCGCCGACCACTCCGACGGGCCTAGGTACCTGCGCGTACAACATCAAAGCAGGAGGACGTTACAGGCTATGGGGTGGACGCGAGGAAAAAGATTATTCCCACATTAATTGGCTAGAAGAAGCCTGAACGTTTGTGATTGGCGTCGTCATGAGCGCCACGTGGGCGGCAAGCTGCTGGAGGGGACCGACGGGGACTGAATGTGAACATTGTGTGTGTGCCGGGGGCTTACACATGTTTCGCATGCCTTATTTGTTTGACCATTGACCTCGCGTGTGGGGTGGGGGGTTCTTGAAGTCTGCCTGGCTGTCGGCTAACTAGGGCTGCAAGTCAATAACCAAGCGGAACTCGCAAATTCCGCAATATCAGCTGTTGCTATCGTAGCGGTACTGTGGGAACCAACAATAGGCCGAAAATGCGTGTATGCTCGCACCGGATGCCGCCCTCCTCGACGCTGGTCCTGGCGAGGTGGCTCTTGTTGTCGAACCGCTCCCACTCCGTGGTGTACGCGGGGTTGGAATAGGGCCACGACAGGCGGTAGGCGGCGGTGAGGTCTTGGTCAAAGAATGACTCAAACGCGTCCAGGTCGCTAGCGTCGCCGTTGCCGGAAACGAATTCGGTCTGATCGGGGTCGTAGTATCCCTGGTGTCATTGTGTTGTCCTTGTTGTGGTTAGGTGGTTGCTGTTTCGATTGTTTCGTTCTGCGTGGTTAGTCGATCTGGTTTTGGAAAGTGGTGGGTCAAGGAAAAAGAAGGGCAGTAGAGCCGTAGTACCCCTGTCGTCGATGTTGTTGTCGCTGTTGGGCGTTCTGGTGAAAGTGGTTGTTGTGTCGACTATTCCTACCTGGTCGGTAACTCTGGTTTGGTACGTCGTACGTACGTCAAGGATAAACCCGCAGTAGTTGTGTTGGTGGCTGTTGAACCGGAAGTAAATTTCGTCGTCTTTGTCGTGGGACTCTCTTGCCTGGGAGCAGATTGGAGTCCGGCAGTCGAACCCAGACCAACCCGTTGCGCACTCGCACACCCCCGGGGCAGTGCAGTTGCCGCTGTTCGCGCACACGTAGCGTCCTTCCGTGACGTTGTGGTACTCGACCAATGCTACCTGCAATGTTTGAGGGGATGCAGGTCAATACCTCCTCCCAAAAAACGGGCGTCTTGATCGGCTGGGTCGCATGACTCCTTTAGCCAAGTACGTCAGACAAAAAAATCTATCAGTGAAATGATTAGCCAGGGTGAATGACAAACTGCCGTTGCACAGCATCGAGGTGGAAGTACAACCTAGTTCCACTAAAGCAGGCCACGTGTGTGATACCTAGCCTCATCACTCTATCTGTGAACCTCCCCGGACAACGGAGCATCTCTGCTTGCAGGACGGGGAATCGCACCGACACCACTCTCCACAAATTCCTGGCGCATGAAAGGCTATTCTCTATTCTTCGATACATGGGGCTGATTGGTCAGTGACCTACCTGGCGATCCTCCACCCAAACGAAAGGTCCTGTTCTCCCAGGAGCAGTATCATTGTAAGCCGACCAAGGGCTTCGCGGACTTGCGGTCCACTCGTACGGGTGGGTGGGACTATACCTACAATTCAGACGTGGGGATAGGGAGGGAATCAATTAAGATAAATTATGTTTAGAGTATAGGGAGGCTATCAAAACCCGCCCGGAATTTCACATTTCGCAGCGTGTTTGAACAAAAGTTGTTTTTATTTCTATGCACATCTCCTCGAAGGCCAAGCACATCCCCCCTTGCCCAAAAAACGCTTCCTCGCCCGTATGTCAAGCATCGTGTCAATGTAAGGGCTCCTGGCCCACACACCTACGGTGGTCGGAGACCCCAACACAGCTACAGCGCCCAGGTCATTGGGATTAAGCGCCACTGAAACGAAACGATCTGCCAATGGCATGGTTTTACAGGATTCAACTATTCAATATTTAAGGTGAGTTTGAAACCTTAGGGCCCGAAAAACAGCTTGCCTGGCGAACGGGGTGGAGCCGTTGTCCGCCCGGAGGTAGGAAAAGGGGGACACCACGTCCTCTCCCAGCTCGATCATCATGCAGCGGTCCGGATTCTCGGAACGCCCGGTCTCCGATCTGTGGTAAGCCCCCCAGTCAACGGGAATCGCCTCGAACGACCTCATCGGCTGTGTATAGAACCGCGCAAGCAAAGGTGCGTGGTAGCCGGCGTCGTTCGGTAAAGGTAGCTTGTGATCCAGCGGGGTGTTCCCGTACGATTTAGTTCTCGACAGCTTTGGGGAAAAGAGACTGGGTGTTACGTTACGTGAACCTCTTTAGTCAGCTCTACAGGACAAGTTGTTTTTTGTCGGGTTGTTGGCACAGTTGACGGGTGCGTCTTCAAACGAGGAAGTCGTCCCAAGGGGCTGATTCCGAACAATAATCCTTCCGTTCAAACCAACGCAAAGCTCACGTGATTAGAGACGACGAGAGACACACAACACGGCACGTCTCCGTGCTCCCCACAAAAAACAATTGCCGGTTGAGCATAGTTTGCTCTCACCTGCGAGCAGTCGAAACCGTTGGTGGCGTTACACCAGCCCTCGACGTCGCAGGGGACGTACCGCTGCGACCACCACGACCGTCCCTCGGGGTCGAAGCCGGACACGTTGTACCCTGGCACGAAGTAGCCCTCCGCTCCGTCCGAGTGCAACCGAGAGAAGGCACACAGGCCGTTAAAGGTGCGTGAAGAAGAGCACTCACTTTCGCTAGGAAGTTGTGGAGGAAGAAGATAGCCAGATCTGTGCTGACAGGTCAGAGACATGCTAGGCTCAGGAGGGAAGCTCCGAGGCTACACCACCACCCTACTATTTTCCGTAAGGTAGGGGCTTGGAACTTTCAAACAATGTTTTCCGAGACCAAGCGCATTCTAGTCGACCCGTGCTTGCGCTCAGCGGAGGTATCCATGTTACCAGGTAACGGTATGATGAAGGCCTAGGGCCAGGTTATCCTTCTATCCCAAAGACCCCGTGCCTCTCTGTCACACTCACACCCCGCGTTCAAATCGTGCTCACCTGCGTGCACACCGGCATTGCGCAGTCATGACCGGTCCATTGCGGCGGGCACGCGCAGGTCCCCGGGGCGACGCACCACCCTCCGTTCAGGCACGGTACGTCGCAAAACGGAACGCGGCAATCGTCCCCATCCTCTCCCCCTTCGACGGCCACCGCCGCCGCCACGACCCCGCCCCCGCCCGACCACTCCGCCGCGCACGCGCAAGCCCCCGGCGCGGTGCAGTTCCCGCCGTTGCCGCAGGTCTGGGAGCACACGGGGACGGTGCAATTGGGCCCGAACCAGCCATCCGCGCAGTTGCAGGTGTCCGGGAGCCCGCAGCTACCCCCGTTCTCGCACGTCTGGGCGCAGAGGGCGTCGAGGCAGGACGGCGCGCCCGTGTAGCCCGGGACGCAGCCGCACTCTTCTGGACCCACGCACAGCTTGGTTGTGTCGAGTGTTATTATCGTGCGCAGCAGAAGCAGTCGGTAAGGCATTGGGAAAGGGCAAGGGCTAGGAATGCGACCGGACTTTGTCCATAGGTATTATACATGCGCTTGTTTGTTGTTCAGCACCTACAGCTGTGCGAATCGTCTGTCCATGTTGCTGGAAACTCGTCGGTCTCAGTGGGGCATAGGCGAAACAAGTCCCCTGTCATCGTGATCCAAGCGAAAATGGCTTGGAAGAATCCCAGTCGTTTCCGTTGGTTGTGCGCGACTCGACCGTTACACGTTGAAGATGTTGAAGGGGCCGCGTGCTGCCTCTCCTCTCCCCCCCCCGCCCCCCAAGTCTGAATAAATGCTCATACCTCCCGAGGGCCGCACAGTCCGTCCGAACACAACGGCAGGGAACAGTCCAATCCCGTCCACCCCGTGGGGCAGCTGCACCGGTCGGGGCCCTCACACACCCCTCCGTTCTCGCACACGAACGAGCACACAGCCGACAGGGCGCGGATGGCGTGGCTTCCTGCGTCCGCGACGTACAAAAACCGCTGGGGGGAGAAAAAACACGGGGGGGTAGATAGAAGAGGAAAGGCGTTCGCGTCAACACGCCTCCTCCTGTCGAACGACTGATGAACCGATCCCGAGACAATAACTTGAGGAAGATAGATGCCCCTCGGAGACCGGCCACGAATCAATTAGTTTGTTCATCTCACCCGGTCCGTGATGTTCGCCGACCGCCAGGCGTCGATCCCCCTGGGCCTCCCGAACACCGCCTCCTGCGGAGGCTGCCCGTCGCTGAGCGCCCCGCAGCCTTCCTCGAGGGGCCCCGCGGGCCGCCCGGCCACCGTCTGGGCCGTGAGCTCGCCGGGGAGCGCGGCCTCCAGCGCGAACCCCCTCGCCCAGTCGCCGGGCGCGTCGCCCGCCGAGACGCCGTTGGCGACGGATCCCGCCGCGCGCGTGCCCGGCACCGCGGCGTCCGAGGTGTTCCCGGCCAGCAGCCTCGCTACCACCACGACGTGGTCTAGGGCCTGGCCAGTCGGGGAAGACCCCCACGACGATGACGAGGAAGCGGCGGGCGGTCGCGGGGATGCCGGGGTGTCGGCAGTCAGGACTCCGGCGTGGACGGCGGCCATGCAGACAGCGCTGTCGTCGGTGTAGAAGTCGGGTGACCCGCGGACCTCGCCGGCGGCCGGCGGCGCGCCGGTGGCGGCCCCGAGGCAGTAGGCGGGGCACGCGAGCCGAACCGTGGTGCCCACCCCGGTGTCCTCGAACGCGCCGACGAGGCCGTCCTCTACAACCAGAGCGCTGAGCGCGTCGCCGGCTCGGTCGAACCGGTAGGGGGGCGGGAAACCCACGCACTGGCGAACGGCGCGGCCGTCGGAATCGAAGCCGGCGCCAGCGGCGGCCGCGGCCGCCGTCGCCACCGCCATTGACGACGACCCGCCGCTTCCGTCTCCGTCGGAAAATCCGGACACGTTGCGCCAGTGGTTGTACCAGACGTTTCCCGAGAGTGGAGACGCCGAGAGACCGTCCCCGCCCTGGGGGGGGTCGTACGACGAGCACCCCGAAGGTCGCAAGGCCTCGGCGAGGGTGGTGTTGCAGGTAGCCAGAGCGGCGGCGAAGGAGACCGTCGGCGCTACTCGCCGCAGGCGGCAGGAAGCCGCGTCCGAGAGGTAGGCGGCGCCGTCGGCCGTGGACGCTACGCCAGATGGCCTCGAAAACCGTGCCTGATCACATAACGGGGCAAGTGCGTTGTTCAACCGAGGTAGGCGGTACGTCAAGCGGGGGCAGAGGGGTGGATGGGACAAGCGGAGGGGGGGAGAGGGAAGAAGAGGTTCTTTGACCTCAATATACAAAGTGCGAACGACGGCCAGAACAATCTTCCGGAGAGAAATAGCTCTTTTTTTATGGGCAGATGGTTACTCAATGGCGCCATGTGTCTCGGCGTTGAAGCCGTCACCCTACAGGAACGCCCCCCCCCGGCTCGTCCACCGCCCGTGCGGCCCGTCGTCAAAGAACAATATGTTTGCCTGTACCTCTGGACCTGTCCCGTCTGCCTCTCCAGGTTCCGCACCGCCTGCCGCAGTCGTGACCCTCCCGTCAAACCCAACGCCGAGCACAATGGTCGGGTTCTCGGGCATGGATATCCTCCTCAGGCTGTGGAGGTCGGCCACAAACAGTGTGCCGTTGGTCCCCAGCGAGACATCCGCGGGGTAGTTGAACCTGCGCACAAAACCAAGCCCCCCAGCAGCACCCCAAGCCAAGAGATAAAAACATGCCTCAGGATGAACAAGAACCCGACGAGTATAGACCAACACACCATACGCTTGCTTCAAGCAAAGATGAGGCCTCCAACCTAGGCAGGATGGTATTCTGCGAACAATCACGGGCTGGAGTTCCTTACCAACTCGGCAAAGCGAAATTCGACTATTATATCCGTCCTCATGCAGTGATACGCACTGACGGTCAAAAGAAAAAGGGTCCAAGAAAAAGCAATCCTGAAAAAAGTCGAGCAGCACCTCCTTGGAATGAGGTACCCCGTATAATTTGACTGCTGCGTTGTCTCGCCTGGCCGCCGTCAGGTTGCCGTCAGTATGGCCAGCCACGCCCCGCAGGCAAGGGGATGGACAAACTTCCTCCCCGCCGGCCTCAACCTCCGCTCCCTCCAACCCCCCTGTCAACGTGAAGACCGTCGAGTTCGCGAGGACCATCCTTATCTGCAAAGCAACCCGCACGGGGTCAGTCGCATATGAAATTAGTCGCACGGGACCCGGAAAGTGTCATGAACACATGGGCTTCCGCTCGATATTCTTGCGACGTTGGGGGCCGGTTGCCTGGGCGAACGACATGTTGCTGCCGTGCGTATTATTTGCCCATGTCTCGCCAGGGAGCTTCTCTCCGCGGGTATGACTATTCGTCTCGTTTGGGTGCTCCGCCAATGGATGCGACACTTGAAGCAGGGGGGCTTGCTTGTTTCCGAGTGATGCTCCCGGTGGTCCACGGCTTCGATCGTACGTTCCACGAGAGTGTTTTCGGTCGCGCAAGAATACCCTGTCGAGGAGCTCACCAAGTGATTGTTCGTGTCCGCCACGAACAGTGTCCCGTCTTCCGCCGCCGCAAGGCCCGACGGGCCGTCGAATCTCGCATAGCTTCCGTCTCCGTCCGCGAAACCGGCCTCGGGTGTTGCCTCCGCCGCCATCCGCGTCGCACTCTCCGTCCCATTCCCGCACCTTCACGGCACCATAAATACGGACGCCGAGTTGCTTGTTTCAAACACGCACACAGACTCTCGTGTTTCATCTTGGTTAGGGTAGAAAGCCGTTGTCTTCGTCTTCGGGGGAAACGACGAGGAGTGAGGCGAGGGACGTGGAAATCACACTTAGGAAATTTTGTGAGACATAGTGTGCCGAATGTCATCGAACACCCCCCTCTTCGCGGTGTTTGGCACTGTCAACGTAACCAGGAAACAGGATCCAGGATGCCAACTCCTGCCGGTTCATGCTCAACCACCCACCGGGGAGTCTTGATTGAACAAGGTATTGCTCTACAGTAGCTAAATCTACACGGCAATGTTTTCACGGAGGGGACAAAGGGGCAAAAGCCAGAGCTTGATTATTCGGCTCACCTCCCGGCATGACAAGTGACGGTGCCGGCTCCGTTCGCGATGTCCCCCGAAATTTTCCGCAGGCGGTGATTGTTGGTGTCGGCAACGTAGAGCACGAGCCCTGAGACACGTTGGAGACGAATGGTGGGAGGGACGACCAGAACAGACTATCAACATAGCTTGAGGTTTGGCAACCAGCGAGCGCATCGGGCACTAGAAGTAAGCATTCGTTGTCGGTGGCACTTTGACAAAGCAGATAGGTCTTCCGCCCAAGGCAAGTGATTACTTCGACAGAACGCACCCTGAATGAGAGCGCACGAAGTACTGTACGCGTGAAGAATTGTTGTCAACCGCACGCGTGTCAAAGTTGGAAAACCGCGAAGAGTTGTGCTTTTTCTCCGTCTGTGACGGGTGGTGGCGCTCCCTCCGTGACTAGTCTCTATTCAAGCAAACCTTCCGAAGAATCGTAGTAGAGGGCGATCCCCCCCGGGAAGGAGAAAGACGCCTCCATCGCGTCGCCATCGTCGGAACCTTCTTCTCCGTCGCCTGCCACGGTTGTGACAACTCCCTGTTGTCCAGCACATTTATTGGAAGAATTTTGGCTTCAGGTAGTCAGGGCCAAACAAAAGACTGACATACGTAGGCATTGATTAAAGGGCCATTGTTCAGGGTAAAACAACTACCCTTCACACACGACTTTGTTTGGCCTTTAGCGTCGGACGCTTGCGACCGGACGCATGAGGGAAAGCGTGTAACCATGCTTGTATGCAGCGTACCTCGGGCGAGATGCGGCGTATCCGATGGTTCCCAGTGTCGGCGACATACACGTTGGCATGGGCATCAACGGCCACGTCCTGCGGGTGTGCGAAGAGAGGAGGGAGAAACCGCAGAACGCAAGGTGTGCGAACCAGCAGCTAAGCTGTATGCGTGTCGTTCAGGAGCGGGAAACCTGGTCGTCGTAATCACGTTAGGCGACAGGGCTGGACCCGAGCAGAGCCGAACCCAGATCGAATGACACGACAGAAGACCGTCCGAAATATCAAAGATTGTACGGTTCATTCGCGTGAAGGCGTTTGTCCAGACCGGGAAAGTGCGTCATTGCAATAGCAACGCAGACCGACAAAGACCAAAGTCAGTTCCCTCGTTTGGACGTACAGCAGACAAGTGGCACATGTTCGGTGCGAATACCAACAGCTGGCGGCCAACGCTTCGCCAAGTACTCCCCCACCACATCTGGCTGGCGAACCTGTGGATCATTGAAGAGCGCCGCTGTTCCGCTGCCGTCCGCGTATCCCGCTTCACCCGAACCCCCCGCGAGGGTGAAGACGAATCCCTGAGGATTGAACGTCGGGGTTGGCTCCAGGGGGCCATACGACGACGTCAGAGCCTTCCGGATCAACGTCACGAACGGGAACACGACGAAACGGTCAGATGATTCGCACGGGTGGGTTCAGGTGCACAGCGAACATTCCCACAGGCCCTTTAAATAGGCCACCGTCGAAACCAGCCTCGACTTTCAGGAATGTTGAGCTCCCCACGTGATCGTCTGCCGCATCTATGCATTCTGAAGCGTAGTGATTAGTGTTGGTAGGGAGGAGGGAAGGAGCACGTCTCGCTTCGGTTCTCTCACGTGTGTCTCTGCTTGTTTGATGAAAACCCGACTGCGGTCGTGTTGCGTGAATTTGGGTGGTGTAAAGCTTTGGTCCTAGACCCCAATCCTGCGTGTCGCTATCCTCTTTGAGCATTTTGGTGCAAAGCTAGAACGCTCGACCTTGAACCTGTACCGCCAACCTGGACCCATTGTTTTATCGCCTGGCACACCTTTGGGTACTCCCAAGCCACAGTAGGGATGTACTCCTGGATATCCTCCGTCATCGAGCTGCGAGGGCAGGGAGGTGGATTTTGGCTGTCAATAGAGGGTCAGCATTCTGGAACTCTCATAGGCGAGAGTTTTGAGCACAGCCTAGAGAACGGAAAGTCCTTCGTCGTGAGAACAACGAACTCCGGTGTAGCATCCTCAATCTGCGTCGGCAAGAGTCTCGTGGTGGTAGTTACGTTTGAACAGATACCTTTGAGACTCTACACGATTGCCGGCATGCATGGTTCTCCTTCCCTTCGCATACGTCTACTTTTGTATTCACCAGCTGGTCTCAACGATAGCCGAAGCATTGGTGCCGCGTTGCTGAGTGTGCTTGCGATGTACGCGTCGGATTGAAGCAAAACATCGACCAATTTCGCGCACAGCCTATGTCAGGCCGGCAGCATTCATCTTTGTCACAGTCACTGCTGTGGGAGCTTGAAATCGGGATTTCTCGCGCCATCCTGTTGAGACCTGAGAAGACCATATTGATGTACGTAAGCTGACCTCGATATACCGTGCTGATCTAAAGCATTGATACCGGGGTACTCATAGCTATGATACAGTGCGCTGTTTGCAGCTTCTCATGTGCGTTTGACTAGTCACCTGGGCGCCGCAAGGTGGTCTACTGGGGAGGCGTCCGCGCCAGAGAATCCGTCGCCCCAGCACCTCGTAGTGCAGTTCGAGTAGTCGCCTGCAGCATGTTTTTGTCCACGCAAACTCGGCTAAGGGTTAACGTGCTCTCCCGTCAACAGCGAAGTTCAACGCCGACGCTGAGCTCTGAATGTCGCCAAACGGTACAAATGGCGCGTTGAAGCCAGTTGTTTGTTGGCGGTATGTCTTTGTTTACACCTATTCCTGCACTATAGCGATAGCAACACCTATCATCGCGTGATGCAGAAGGTGATCCATGCCCTCTCGGTACAACGACTCCACGAAAGAGGAAAACATGGAATGTGTCCCGGCAAAATAAACAATGCCAAACTCACCTAGTGGCTCGAGGCATGCCCCTCCGCTGAGCAACATGCACACTCTCGAGACCGAGGCGCTTCCGAAGTCGTTCCTATGACTCCCACCCACCGCCCACGGGGTGTCACTAACCGATGGGATATTCGTGGCGAGAAGGGAGGCGTTCACCTGCAAATCCCACAACGTGCAAGCATTCCGACCGGGCGCGGGCGAGAGAGGAATGGTGTGCTGTTGTGGTCTACTCTTGGTGTTCTGTATGGTTTGACACGCCTCCTGCACAACATTGCGACCGTCTGAGATACCTCTTGAGCTGCGTTGTCAACTCCGAGGTGAAGCCTCGGCAGTGTCCTGGAATCTCACGCCCCTCAACAGATTACACACGCCATGTAGACCTTTGTCTGAAGAAGGAGTAGCCCTGCGCTACTCACCTGCAATCGGTGCACCACACGTCTTTTTGATTCGACTGTAAATATCTCACCCCCTGTAACTGGTACGAGCAGTCTGCATCTAGATTTTCCCCGCACACGATGTCCTCGCACACGTGGCACTTGCTGCGCACTCCTCGGCGGTCGCACTCGTGCCGTTCGTCTTGGAGGTTGGTATTTGTTCTACCTTTCGCTTCCACCTACCAAGGTACAAGCGGTGTTCACATGCGGAGGGATAAGGCACGGGCTAACCCAATGTGGTTGTTCGTCTGCAGCAAATGTGGCGAGCCCTTGCATCGTTCAGATCAAGGCATGATAGGCACGGGGTCCACATAGCTGTTCGACCACAAAATATGCCCTTCCTGTGCAAATAAGCAATGCTGTCAGTATCCAACGTACTGTAGTTTGTACGGTAGGGCCACCGGGCGGTGGCGGTACTGTGTAGTCTATATGTTGTAGTCTACCAAGTGCGAGGATATATGATATGTGTAGTTGACCACAGCAGTCTACTGTAGGGCTTTTCGCGGCCGTTGAATGTATCCTATGCAACTGCGTTCGTGGCAAGTGACTGCAGCTTACGCGTACGCTCTATTGAGCTGTGCCTTGGGTCAAACGAAGGACAACACCGTGTATCGCACGGTGACACTGCTGCACCGTATACCTCCTGGCCGCGGTACTTGCTGTAGACGAAAGGCCAAACCGGTTCCACGGCCTTCTCGCACGAAGACCGCTCGCTCCATGGCCTGGGTATTCTCATAGACGCCGCCCGCCGAGAACCGAAGATGAAGGTCAGCGAGGCCCAGAAGGCGACCCCCGAGACCGTCACGGTTCTCTTTCGGCGCCGCCGTGTATGGGTGCTGCTGCTGGTCCAACGGTGCATGTAGTCGTATCCTTCCCGCGAAGGACCACCGGTAGATCTAAATCTCGTCGCTGTCGTTTGATCACCATGTTTTCGGTCTCTTGCCGCCGCCCGCTCCTGGGCAGAGCGAAGGTGCCGCAGAAGCGCTCGCATGCCCCTATGGATCAGCGATCCTCGCTCTGGTTGACCGTGGCTGAGTTCGGTAGCTCCTGCGCTACACTGTGTAGTTGTTAGCCGTCACCACTGTCACAGCCGTTTATATCTTTTTTTGGGTGCTCCGCGATATCACCGTAGACACCCAGCATAATCTTCACCGTCGTGCCCCCGGAGCTGCACCACACGGGGCGTTGCGTTGTCTGTTGATTATTTATCTTTTGTGTTATCCCTCCCCAGAGAGGGAGAGGTGTGTCAAGGCTAGGACAGCGTGTTCCGTAGCTGCTGGTCGGCAGCTTACCCGGGCCTTCGCCGAAGGAAGGCAGGGACGGGCCCCTTGCTTTTCTCCCTTGTGGGTACCAGCCCGAATACACACCCTGGACCACGCGCGGTTAGGTGTGTGTGTGTGTCGAGAGCCCGACCGGAGAGAGAGCGGGCGGAGGCAGAATGGAGAGCAGCGGTAGCGGTATGGCAGGCGCGGGAGAGAAAAATGGAGGCGGCGATAGCAAGGAGCCGGCGATGGTCCCCTTCCTATCAGCCTGCTTCACCGAGCTCAGGGCAAAAGGTATGTGTCCGCTGTGCGCTGAGAAACATGGCAGAAAACAGGGGGGGGAAGAACATTCACTCACAGAGAAAAGAGGTTGGGGGGACCACAAAAAATACAGCAGCTGGTTGTTGTTGGTGCCCGACTGGACTTCTTTGGTGTTTTTATTCACACACTCACACACCGCGCCACCGTCACCACCTTCCGCCGGAAGTTCGCCCGCTTTGCTCGAAGCGAGGCTGCAGTGAGGCCCGAAGGAGGCGTATGTAATAAAACACCGAAATTGACGCCGACACTTCTCTGGTCTGTACGGTGTGGTCGCAACCAGCCAGCCGTTTGTGTACGGAGCAGCAGCTTGGTGGGACCTATAGCGAACAACGCTTTTCCAGAAAGAAAGAGGCGCAACAACCACCCGCGAACTTTGGGCGGGTGGGGGGGGGCTTCTGCTGTTGTTCACGAGACTGCACGCGTTTCTTGTCGCATGGTTACACACCGATTTTGGGCCCTGTTCGAGGGAGCAAGCATTGAACGTTTTTCGCTTTCTCCCGCTGTAAATAGGCGGCAGAATACGTTGTACACGCTTCTATCATGTGTTGCCCGCGCATGTGACGGACGGAGTGGCTGATCTCTGGTAGTTAACAAAATTGTTCCACCGCGGTCAAGCATAGATACGTAGATTTTCGTCGCCTGGAGCTGTGGTTGTCGGTTTTTGCCCCGAGAGCTGCATGGGCGGCTTGTTTGCCATGACTCCAACGCGGACATGGCGCAACACACACGCGACAGCCGCGATGTACGCGTCACGCAAAGAAACAGTGTACCGAGTGTTTCTTGTATATCGTGCCCTGTGTACAAATATGTACCACTGGAGATCACGCTGTACACGCCGGCTATATGTGTACGCCAACAATGCGCCTTCTGTGTGTGATACCATGCACTCTTCTTTTTTCGCGCACCACGCTCACACTGTAGCACAAGGAAAAACTGTCTGTCTATAGAATACCTTGCAAAAGCGCAGCAGCAGGTAATTTAGCTAAATTGCTGTGCGGCGGCTCCCGGCCTCGAATGCGAGAGCCGCTCCTCTTTACCTACCGCTTGGTCGTGCTGGGTTTTGAGAGTACGCCGCTACAGATGGTACATCCAGCAGTCATGCAAATGCGCACACGTATTGGCGAAGTGTTCCGAATATCCCGATTCGCAAGAGGGCGGGGGGGCGACAGCAGTAATTTTCTTGAGGAGAAAGAATGCAATGAGGCCCAGATAGTCTACTTCTACAAGCTGAGAAAATTAGTGGTCCGCTCCTGCCGGAAATATTCGAGCACAGCAGCGGTGCTCTACCACAGCAGCTCTACACAATGTAGCATCGATACTGTAGTAAGTACACTACGCGAAGGAGGTGCCGAAATAGGTTCCCTCCGTGCCGTAGCGGCTTTCGTTTGGAAAAGAGAGAGGTGGGCACACCTACATTTGCATTCCGGCACTCTCACGGCACGGCGTGCTGCTTCTTTTTCTTTTTCTTTCTCGCACACAGCAGAAGGTGCAGGCTTCATATTTGCATTCTGGCAACTCTTGGCGGCCTCTGCTACTCTTTCGCACACAGAATTTGGTGCATACACATTACCATTCTGGTGCTCTCGCGGCCTGCTGCTTTTTCGCACATAGCGGTAGGCGCATACATTTTCCATTCCCGTACCCTCTCACGGCCTTCTTTTTCGCATACGGCATACATTTCCATCCCGGCACTCCTCTCACGGCCTGCTTTTTTCGCACACAGCAGGTGCGTGCGTGGAGTAGTTTGTGCTCGCTCTTGTTTGGCTTGTCTCCGCTGGAACAATTTGTGATGATGATGATGACCGTCGCGGCGCTGTTGCCCAGTGCTGCCTGGGGCCTGCCGACACCGTACCGTGTACGACACAAGATAACACACCCCCTGGACCGACTGGCAAAGCTTGACTTATCATCAGCAGAAAGAGTCGCGGCGCCGAAAATGGCGGCGTTAAAGCCGTCTGGTGCAGAGCTCTCCGAAAACGTATCGTTTCGTTTTTGCATCCTCTTCGTCGTGGAGTAGTCGGGCTTTTAATCGGTCCAGGGGGTGTGTTGTCTTGTGTCGTATACGGTAGCTGCCAACCACGGCAGTCGTTGGCCCTCGACATTCGCCCAGGGAGAAGACTGCTTCGTGTCTAGCTTGCGTGCACGTTCAACCGTGTGTGCCCTGGTGGGGTCTCGACAACACGAGACACGGAAGCCGCTCCCGAAAGCTAGACCTGGCCGAGAGGATACTTTCGATTCCTTTTTTGTACAGCTTGTCTGGGGGACACGTGGCTGCATCACGTGTGTTGACGAACGTTGTTGTGCGCTCTCCCGAAGGGCACCGGGCAGGCAACAGCACGCCACAGCCAGAGAGAGAGGGTTAGGGTTAGGGTTAGGGTTGGGGGATATATATGCCCGATCGTTGGTGAGGAACGAGTGCCTCTCGAGGTCATTCCTTCTCTTGTGTTGTTCTGCCACAGCAGATGCAATGGCTTTATGTAGGCCATGCTCGTGCCGGGGCTATGGCGTTTGGTGTGGGAGTATCCCACCTATCACATTCGGGCGGCGAATAACGTTTCGGGTTCCTGAATTCCGCTGCTGGCGTTACGTGGCAGAAGTAACCGTTTGTACGACTTGAGCTTCCAGTCGACGAAGCACGGCTACACCTCCCCGCTTCACCATTCGGTATTTTCCAAGCCTACAACCTGCGCAAGTACGTTGGCAGGCGCCGATGCCGTCCTCTCGTGAAGCGGCGACTCGCGACGGAATGGAGGCATGCGGTGGTAAAGCAGAGTCGTACCGGACGCCCTATTTTGTGTGTTCTACTTCACCTATAGAGTCCCTTTTCCGAAGGAGCTTCCTGCCAGTGTTGTAAGACGCGAGTCAGCAGCAGTGGCCGCAACATCTCCCTAAACCCTAGACGGCTGTAGAAAGCCAGCCACTCCACGACGACTTGCAAGGGCTAACAATTCTCAAGGCCATTGACTGCTTCCGCACCCGCAAGAAACGCTAGACGGCTGTAGAACGGCCAGCCGACGCCTGCCAGAGGGTACAGCTCCACAACGCCATTGAGTGCTTCCGCACCCGCAACGCACACACCCGCGCGGCTTGGCCTTGATTTTGTAGCTTCCGCAACTCGCCGCTGTTCACCGCTACGATGTACGTGAGCATATGGTCGAAATCTTCTGATAATGTGGCCTTCCTCTCGCCTGTCTACGTGAGGCTTTACAGCCGCCTCCGCGCCGACTGCGAGAGACAGTCCGACACGACGGCTGAGAAAATGGCCACGCAAGCCCCATATCCTACACAACACCTTGCCTCTGCTGCCGTGCACAGTATTTTTTCAGCCTGCTGCGTCTGTGGGTGAGCGTTGTTTTGCGTACGCTGATGCTTGGGTAGTAGCAACGTTTCATACTTTAGTAGTGGCATCTCGTGTGTTCCTCTCGTGACTCATGGTGCCGCTGCTGTGTGTTTTTGTCCTTAGTCGTTCTGAACTCTGGGCGACCCCCTGTGTGCGTGGTGCTGTCGACCGCAGGAATGCACGAGCCACGGGTCTTCCAGCACCCGACGAGCCTCACGGAGATTCGACAGCTGTGGCGCGACGTTTGTGAAGGCGAGTTGTATTCGCGCACGGTGTATACGATGCACCAGTACACGGCAGTGCGTTTTCTAGTGTTTTTCAAGAGGCAAGAGTATCTCCGTGTGCGTAGTATGGATACCCCCCCTCGCCCAGGTTACTCACGCGTGACCCCCCCCCCCCCCCCCAGAAAAAAAAACAAAA